CCTAGGGTTAACAATAACATGCGCACCTAGGCAGCGCACGATAACTTTGACTATATTCCCATGGATGCTAAAATGCGCTCTGAATTATCTTCAACGCCCCCCCCTTTAAAAAAGGAGATGTCTTTTTTAGCAACTCTGCGTTTCTCTCTCACTCGTTCTTACTCAAAGAGTTGATCTTTCAGCTGTGGATTTCTCGACAAAGATTCTAACTTTTTTAGAGAGCTTTTGTTTTCTAGATGCAGATTCAGAGCGTATCATCTCTCGAGAAAGGATCAATGTCTCATGACATAAGCTAGACTCTGTTTCTGTTTCCTTCTTCTTCTTCTTCGATCTCAATTTCTTCTTCTTCTTCGAGCTAGGGGTGTTTATGTTTGGGAAAGGAATGGGCAGTAGGCAGTATTCACTGGGAGAAGTAGGGCCACCAATAAATCCGAGAGCTGGATTGCGAAGAGAACAAGCTGGTAGAGGTTCATACAGAGGTAGTTAGTAGATTCGTAGCTCATCATTAGGAAAAAAGGGTTTCTTTTTAGGTGGCAAGACTGTTTATTTTCACACACAGAGACTGATTCAGAATTCAAGGCAGAGTTCTTGTCGGGGGACTGTTTAGGAACCTTAAATTTGGTCTTTAAGTGATAAAAGAGGGGTGGTTTTGAGTTTTAGTGGTGAAGGGGTGGTTTAGATGGGTTCTACCTTGCAACAGATACTGAGGAGCCTCTGCTCCAACACGGATTGGAACTATGCCGTGTTCTGGAAACTCAATCACCACTCTCCTATGTAAGTTATCTAAAAATGTTTATAATCTTACGCCAATATGTTTTTCTTGGTTCTGTTTGCTGGACTATAGTAAGGAATCTAATAAGATCGATTTGGTTGCTTTGAGAGTTGTTATAGTCAATTTTGTTGAATGTAGAGGAACATTGGGTACCTTCCATTTAGTACAAGTTTGTAAGTATTTAAAGTTTCTCACATATAGACTATTAAAAACACTTGCAGGGTGCTTACTTTGGAGGATGTGTACTGTGTTAATCATGAGCGCGGTTTGATGCAGAAAAGCTTGCAAGGAGGGTGCCATGCACATGATCCCCTTGGGTTAGCTGTGGCTAAGATGTCATATCATGTACACTCTCTTGGGGAAGGGTAAGGAAATTTTGCTTCCTGATGCACTGTTTTTTTTTTTTTTTTATAATAATCTTGTTATCTTCATTACTTTGAGATCTTTTATTGATGTTGTCTAACGATACAAAGACTTGGTGTGTTTCTAGCTTGACTGTGTATTACAGTCTGACATTAATGTAGCTATAATTTTCTTTGTTCTTTTAACTTTTCTTTCTTTGGCATTGACTACATGATGTTAACACTCTCGGCTTGTCTTGAGACTTGATATTGAATCTCCTTGCAGGAACATCACCTGTTAATTCGTTTTGATGATTGAATTTTACTTAATGATGCTAACATCTTCATTCATATCTCTCTATTATTATAGGACTGTAGGACAAGTGGCAATCTCTGGACAACATCAATGGATCTTCTCTGAATATTTGAATGACTCTCATTCGACACTGCAGGTTGGGAAATATGTACGTTGTTGAGTTTGAAAATATAATTTTGTGGCATATTAAAAATAATATTTTTCCCTTAGGTTCACAACGGCTGGGAGAGTCAAATTTCTGCTGGAATTAAGGTATCTGATAAGTTTTCAGTTTTTTTTTTTCTTTGCCTGCTCTGGTTTTTCAATGTTTAGATCTCCATGTCTTTTGCATATTGTTATCTATCGCATGGGATATTCTTGTGCTTGAATTTTTCTTGGTATTTATGATTAGATTTGATGTTTCTACTTCCACCTATTTGTCTTTTTCTTAGTCCTTTTAACAAAATTATTAACTTTGTTTTTCCTCAAAAGTTTGCATTTCATTTTTTTACAATTTTTTTCTTCATTTTCTGCAGACGATTCTTATAGTAGCTGTTGGTTCTTGTGGAGTTGTGCAGCTTGGCTCTTTGTGTAAAGTAAGTAAGCTGTTCTAACTGTATGCAGTGTTCAAAGTAGCCTTTACAATGTAGTAGGCCGAAAGAAAGCTTCCGCATTGAAAATATATACATTTGAATGCCTCTGATCTTCCTGTATACTTTTGGTGGAACAGGTTGAAGAAGACCCGGCTTTGGTGACTCATATCAGGCATTTGTTTTTGGCACTTAAGGATCCACTGGCAGACCATGCATCAAATTCAATGCGATGTGATATTAACACTCCATCAGATCTGGTAATGATCTTTCTCATTCATATATAATTTCATGTTTGTCTGCAGTTCTAGTGATGTTAGTGCAAAATTGGAAGAGAGGTACTTTCTGAGTATAACATGATGCGTTGTATAATTTTGCTGCAGCCAACTATACCTTCCAAATGCTTACACGAGGCATTCCCTGATTTCTCAGGAGAATTTGACAAAGCTATGGATATGGAAGGGTTAAATATTGTATCTCAAAACACAAGTAATAGAAGTGACGACCTTCCATATAATTTCACTCCAACATATGTTCATATGGAGAGGACTGCTCAAGTAATTGGTGGGCTTGAAGCAGTCCAACCTTCCATGTTTGGAAGCAATTATTGTGTTACAAGTGGTTTTTCAGTTGATGTGGTTGATGCTAAACACGAGAATCAAGTGGGTATAAATGACATGAGTAAGGTAATTTATGATGATGAAACTGGTGGATACCAATACTCAAGAGAATCAGATCCTAATTTCCAACAGTACTCGAGAAATCATCTGCGTAATAGTGCAGGCTCATCTGCTTTAACAATGAAGACTGATAGGCTAAAAGCAGGTCCATCATATCCACAACTTGATTCAACTGTTCTTACTGCGTTAATAACAGATAAAGATTATTCTCTTCGAAATGAGGTTTTCCAACCATCTGAGAGCCAAGGAAGTATGTATGTGAAAGATACAGAACATAGGCAGGAGAAAAAAAGTGAGTCAAGTCGGTTGGATGCTTTAACTGCATCTTTGTCTTCTTTTTCTGGCAGTGAGCTGCTAGAGGCATTAGGGCCAGCTGTCAGTAAAACGAGCACTGGTTATGAGGAGCTAGCAAAGTTTGAATCTGCTGCAGCTATAAGACGAACAAATGATATGAGCCATAGTCACCTGACATTTGACTCCAGCCCCGAGAATCTTCTAGATGCCGTTGTTGCTAGTATGAGTAATGGTGATGGTAATGTCAGGCGTGAAATATCGTCCAGTAGGTCAACACAGTCCTTACTTACAACTGCTCAAATGGCCGAGGCAGAACCTTTTGGTCATAATAAGCAAAGTATTGTTAGCACAGTTGATAATGTGATTAGCCAGCCGCCTTCAGCAGAGGGGCGTATCCAACAGAATCCATCAAATATCTGTGGAGCATTTTCTTCCATTGGGTTTTCATCAACATGTCTCAGTTCATCCAGCGACCAGTTTCCGACGTCCCTGGAAATTCCCAAGAAAAACAAAAAGAGAGCTAAACCTGGTGAAAGTTCTCGGCCTCGTCCAAGGGACAGGCAACTTATTCAGGATCGTATCAAAGAACTAAGGGAGCTTGTGCCTAATGGATCTAAGGTGATTTTTCTATTCAGAGCATATGACTGACTGCACTCATGCAGTTATCGTAGTGTCATGAATTGTATATTTTGTTCTGCTATTTTCTAACTATGTGGTTATATTATTCAGTGCAGTATTGATTCTTTGCTAGAGTGCACGATCAAGCACATGCTCTTTCTGCAGAATGTCTCTAAGCATGCCGACAAGCTCACTAAAAGTGCAAGTTCAAAGGTACTTAGTAATTTCTCGTCTTCCCAAGGAAAGTTGCTCAATATTTCCGTTTATTAATGAGTCATGACTGATTGATAGTTCATTTATTAAATTGTTGGGGAAGTTTTCTTAAAGCTTATACATTTGAAGTTGCAGATGCAGCACAAGGATAATGGCACCCTAGGATCATCTAGCAGTAGCACTGAACAAGGTTCGAGCTGGGCAGTGGAGATTGGAGGCCATCTTCAAGTGTGTTCAATCATGGTGGAGAATTTGGACAAAGAAGGAGTGATGCTTATCGAGGTGTGCATTATTTTCTCGTGACCATTTTCATGTATTGAAGCACTTTGTCAGAACGACTGGCAAACTCTGTATTTATCATCCTGAATTTTGCGGGTGTATGCAATTCCTTGCTTGAGTGTGTTTTGGATGTTGAACAGATGTTATGCGAAGAATGTAGCCACTTTCTCGAGATAGCAAACGTGATAAGGAGCTTGGAACTTATCATCCTCAGAGGCATCACTGAGAAACAAGGCGAGAAAACATGGATATGCTTTGTAGTGGAGGTACGGTATTTGGGAAAAAGTGAGAAATGTTCTTCACTTTAATGTCACACACCTCATGAAATAGACTCCAACACTTGGCTAAACAACTTCATTGCTTTCAGGATCTGAATACTCATCCAAGTAGAACATGGAACCAAACAACTTCATTGTAGTTTTAAACCCAGATAGAAAACAAACAAAACATTATCTCGAACATTACAGCATCATGAAAATCTCACAAGGTCCTTGATCATTGTATTGTTATATCACATCAAATAACTGGATACTCTATATGAATCGGCAGGGACAAAACAACAAAGTAATGCACAGGATGGACATCATGTGGTCTCTGGTGCAGATATTTCAACCCAAGGCCACAATTAACGGGTAGCAACAGCGAACCCGTCACATCATGCAGACTCGGCTTCATGATGAAACAGAGAAGAAAACGACTGTGTATGTTTATAGAGTGTGTTTGTGTGTGATATTTATCTTGAGATAGGTATAAACTATAAAATCGTTTTCTGTTTGGTATTGTTATTATGAATACTTGAGATTTGACTATTTGAGAAGCTCTAAAACATTCTCAGATTGACTAATCACAATATAGCAAATAAACTGAAACCCTCTATCTCTTCCAGAGTTTCTCTGTACCTCCCCTAAAAGATTTCAAAGTCTGCATCTTTGTCGACAATACTCAAATTCTTCTTACATGAATGCTTTTGTCAACGTGCGTAGTCTTCGGGTACCCTCTCACCATCTTCGTCTCCTCCGAGATTGCTCAACTTCACTCTCCCCGTATCTTCCAATCTTAAAGCAAATCATCAAGCAATGCTCGACCCCCAAGCTTCTGGAGTCTGCTTTAGCCGCCATGATCAAGACGAGCCAAACCCAAAACTGTTACTTAATGAACCAATTCATCACTGCCTGCTCTTCCTTTAATCGTCTTGATCTCGCGGTTTCCTTCATGACCCAGATGCAGAAACCTAATGTTTTCGTCTATAACGCGTTGATTAAAGGCTTCGTTACTTGTTCTCACCCGATTCGATCTCTGGAATTCTATGTTCGTATGCTCAGGGACTCCGTTTCTCCATCAAGCTACACGTACTCTTCACTAGTACAGGCTTCTGCTTTCGCTTCTGGGTTTGGAGAATCACTTCAGGCGCACATCTGGAAATTTGGATTTGGTTTCCATGTTCAAATTCAGACGACTCTTATTGGTTTTTATTCAGCATCTGGTAGAATCAGAGAAGCCAGGAAAGTGTTTGATGAAATGCCTGAAAGAGATGATGTTACTTGGACCACAATGGTTTCTGCTTATCGCCAGGTCTTGGATATGGACTCTGCCAATTCTTTAGCTAACCAAATGCCGGAGAAGAATGAGGCTACGTGGAACTGTTTGATTGATGGCTATACGAGATTAGGCAATCTGGAACTAGCAGAGTCATTGTTTAATCAGATGCCTGTGAAGGACATAATCTCATGGACCACTATGATCAACGGTTACTCGCGCAATAAAAGATATAGAGAAGCAATTGCAGTGTTCTACAAAATGATGGAGGAAGGGATCATTCCTGATGAGGTTACTATGTCAACTGTTATTTCAGCTTGTGCCCATCTCGGCGTACTGGAAATAGGTAAGGAGGTTCATATGTACACGGTGCAGAACGGGTTTGTCCTTGATGTCTACATTGGTTCTGCACTGGTAGATATGTATTCCAAATGTGGTAGCTTAGAGCGGGCGCTTCTGGTTTTCTTCAATTTGCCCAAAAAGAATCTATTTTGTTGGAATTCGATCATTGAAGGACTGGCGGCTCATGGTTTCGCACAAGAAGCACTGAAAATGTTCGCCAAGATGGAGATGGAGTCTGTCAAACCTAACACAGTCACTTTTGTGAGTGTTTTTACTGCGTGTACTCACGCAGGTCTTGTTGAAGAAGGCCGGAGGATATATCGTAGCATGATTGATGACTATTCCATTGTCTCTAATGTTGAACATTATGGATGCATGGTTCATCTATTCAGCAAAGCGGGGTTGATCTATGAGGCCCTTGAATTGATCGGAAGTATGGAATTTGAACCAAATGCGGTTATCTGGGGGGCCTTGCTTGATGGGTGCAGAATTCACAAGAATCTAGAGATAGCTGAGATAGCGTTTAACAAACTGATGATTTTGGAGCCGATGAATAGTGGGTATTATTTCCTTTTAGTTAGCATGTATGCAGAACAAAACAGGTGGAGAGATGTTGCAGAGATTAGGGGAAGGATGAGAGAGTTGGGTATAGAAAAGATATGTCCTGGGACAAGTTCGATTCGGATAGATAAACGAGACCATCTGTTTGCTGCAGCTGATAAGTCTCACTCAGCTTCAGATGAGGTTTGCTTGCTGCTTGATGAGATATATGAGCAGATGGGATTAGCTGGATATGTGCAGGAAACTGAGAATGTATATTAAGAGGTACCAAAACTTTCTTACATAATTGAAAGCTTTCTTAACATGAAAGTGGGAAAGAGATAGATCAAACTGCATCCTCGCATTTTGCAGCATTATTAGAATGTGTATCCAAGATTTCAATACAAGTAAGTTCTAAAAGGCAGAGATCTTTTCCAGAAACAAATTGTGAATACCTTACAAAATGTTTTGAAGCCAGAAAATGTAAAGATGTCTACAATATCTACCATGAGCAGACTTTGATCCCCAAGTCACCTTCCCAAAACTACCGCTGTCTTTGCAGATTTTCTATCGATTCTCCCAACAATCCAAATACCAACCAAATATATTAACAGCATTCCAAATTGCTAGCTTAATCAGTGTGAAGATACACTGCGCAACTAGCTTTGGGTAAACTACGATCCTTTTAACAGAGAGAGAGATAAACCTCTTCAATTGTTCTGAGAATATCAACGAATCTTATGCCAGTGACTTTTGACTCCAGCAACAACCAGCTCGCACAAATCCAATCTCTCATCTTCATCTTCATGGGTTTTCTTTTCTGATTGATTGCAGAGAGTTGAAACCTTGGATTTAGAAAGTTTTTCGAGTAACTATCTCACAGAAATTTCCGTCATCTGTCTGTCCTCCTGGTGCTTCATATTTCCATCATCTGTCAAAACCATGCTGCAGAAATCAATAGCAAAATGTTCTAGCCGCCTTCAGTAGCAGATAGTCCCATAGGTTTTCTATATCCTTTGATGCCCATTTTATGTCTCACACAATTCACCATCTCCCACATCCCAGCATCAGCATATATGTTAGAAAGTAAAACGTAGACACTTGATTCATCGGGTTCCATGGATAAGAGCTTCTCTGCGATTTCTCCTGCCAAGTCAACTTCTTTATGGATTCTACAAGCACTCAGAAGAGCTCCCCAAGCACTGGCCATTGGTTTCACAGGCATGTTGTCAATGAACGACTTAGCTTCTCCAATTTCACCAGCTCGACCTAGCAAATCTACCATACACGCGTAATGTTCTTCCTCTGGCACTAGCCCGTAGTCTCTTGTCATCGATTCAAATTGCTTCCATCCTTCTTTGACGTTTCCCGAATGGCTACAGGCCGACAAAAGCGAAACAAATGTCACAGAATTGGGAACTAGGTTTTGTGACTTCATGTTATCAAAACAATCCAGAGCTTCCTCGAACAGACCATTTATCCCAAAAGCATTGATCATCGAGCTCCAAGATATCACATTTCTCTTCGGCATCATGTCGAAAACCTTCCGAGCCATCTGTATATTCCCGCATCTAGCATATGTATCGATGAAAGATGTGAAATTCACAGCGTCCATTTCAATCCCATTCCTTATCATGTAGCCATGAACACTTTTCCCGTGCCTGAGAGATCCCAAGCTCGAGCAAGAAACAAGAATGGCCGCCAAAGTACAATGATTTGGAAGTATCGATTCTCCTAGCATCTGCCTGAATAGATCAATTGCTTCAACAGCTCTCTCACACTTTGCAAACCCAGAAATCAGCGTAGTCCACATCACCACATTCCTTTCAACACTTGTTTCAAATAGTTTTCGAGCATTGTCCAACAATCTACATTTCACATACATATCTATGATGGAGGCTTCTAAGTAACCACTCTGATCTATGAAGCTCCTTCTAATGGATAATCCGTGCACACACTTTCCTTCTTTACCAGCAGAAACATTCCCACAAGCCTTTACCAAACATATCAACGTAAGCGCATCGAGCGCTAAACCAGTGTCTCTCATGAGATAAAACAAACGAAACACTTCTGAGTCTTTCGAGTATTTCAAATATCCTTTCATCAGAACTCCCCAAAGAACTGAGTTTCTGACAGGCATTTCGTCGAACACCTTCTGCGCACTTTCCATAGTACCGAATTGTGCGTACATCTCAACCAACGACGGAGCAACATAATCATCTTTATCCAACCCATTCTTCATCGCCAAGCCATGAATCAGCATACCATTTTCTAAAAGCCCTAAACCAACACAAGCTTTGATCGCAAATACCAAATTGAAACTATCGACGCCATCACAATGCCTTCTCATGCGATTGTAAAGAAGCAAGACGTCGCTATAATAACAACTCTTGGATTTGGAGTAACCAGAGAGAATCGTGTTCCACGAATGCCGATTCCTCTTCCAACAAGGGATTCGATCGAATGAAGCAGTAGCGAAATCGAGACGATTCGATTGAATATAAGCGTTAGTGAGACTGGATCCGAGAACAACTTCATCTTGGAATCCATGGATTATGACCTTGGCGTGAACTTGCTGAGTATGGTGTAGTGTTTTGGTTTGGCTCAGGATTGATAAAAGAGCTCTGTTTCTGTTCACCGGAAGCATCGACGGTAAAGAGCGCCGCCGCAAAAAAAAAAAAAAAAGTCAACATGATCAAACACGTGCTTTATATCTTTTTTTTTTTTTCAGCGTATTTTTTAGTTTAGTAAGAATTTCCGTGAAATTTGTCACAATATGCTTAAAGTACTAAACCAATGTATGTCTTCATTTATTTGGTCGAGACTTTTAAGAGTTAAAAGACTGAATCAAACTTGCCAATTGAATTTATTTTTCCCTTTTTAAGACATTTGACCATTTCCAAGTTCTTTTGCTTATGCTTAGTGGTTCAGGTTTTTAGGTGTTATCATGTCATCTTGACCTCCCAAATTCGAATATGAAGTGTCGTCATAAATATTGAAGAAAAACAATTGAGAGTCAATAATTGAATTATAGGAGTTTTAAAGTTTTGTACCTAGGATTGGAATGAGTTTTTTGAATTGACCACAATGCTTCAATTTAGTTTTGTACAGTCTCCAAAACCAAACAATAATCAAGATAAATAAATAAATTATTAATAATGATTTTCCATAGTAGACCTTTGTTCTAAAACTGGACTGGAATCAATTTTACTAAGGTAAACCAGTATAGTATAATTTGGCTTATCACCTTTTTCAGGTTTATTTGTAATATATATAGATTGCGGTCCAAGGCAAGAACCGTGTCATGTCTTAACTTGTTTGATCAATTCCTATAGTTTGGGTTCAAATGTTGAAAACCAAGTCTTTCCTAGTAAAAGTCAAGCCACAAGAATATCTAAGTAAGACCAAAATCACACAAAAGATACCAATTTAACGATCAAACCAAAACCATAATCAGAAACCCTATATATATAAGTCATTATCGAATCAAATATACCACAAACAACGAGTAAAAGACATACAACAACTTTTACGTGACAAACAGGAAAAAATATATATATATATATATATATATATATATATATTTTTCACTTTGATTACATACAAACAAGAGAAATAAATGATGATGAAGAAACAATTGATACTTGGAGTGATTTTGCTCGGACTATTCGTAATTTTCTTGAACACCACACAAGTCGAAGCCGCTAGGCCGCTCCAAGCCGACGGTGAGATCCGATTCGTGTTCCAGTTGCTGCAAAGGGGTTCGGTTCCAGGGTCAGGTCCGAACGGTTGCACAAACATCCCAGGAGGTTCGGGCACGTGTCGCCCGTGAGCGGTCACGTGAGTCTGGGTTTACATCATGGTTCTTTTAATTTTTTTTTAAGGCTAATGTAATAAACACAATATCGTTTTGTGTGTTGGTTCTATTTTGACGCAGTTGTAGCACATATGAAAGCAAATGTATGTATTTATTAACTTGGTAAAATCTGCCAAAACTAGTTGATGAGATTAGCTATTCTTTGATTTGTTTTATGAACTTTAAACATGTAACTTTTTGCTTTATATTTTTTATTTTAAGAATCTTTCTGTTAATTTATTAATGCAAGTCCAGATTATAATGCCGGTCAAGATGGCAGTATTATGATTGCAGTTTGTGAAATTATATATTGGTAAACAAAACTAAAATCTTTCTGAAGTTATTAATTGTCTGATCTTACTTTTCTTGAAGAAGCTTTTTCAAAAAGAAAGTATTCTACGATCGCAGAAATATGATTGTGATCGTAATTAAAAAAAAAATGATTGTGATCGTAACCAAATATGTGGTATAGTATAGTGTAGACAGAACTAACTCTCTTTTGAAGAGAATTTTTCTTTTACTTAAAGAGTTTTGATTGGGACATGACGATTATAATTCAATTTTATGATACTCTCATACACCAAGTTATGGTAATTTAGTGGTTATTACTGGCTTATTAAACAAATTATTCACAATACACTCTAATTAAACATTATGGTAGTTTAGTGGTTATTAGTTATTTGGTACACCATCTTTTTTTGTCCAATTTACATTGCGGTGTAAAGTATAAAAGGTTAATATTGTTTTCGGCTATGAATTTCTAGTAAAAACACATTTACATATATCACACAATTATAAAGAATCCAAAAATCTCTGGTTGCGTTTCAAGAAGAAGAATCAAGTGCCCGGTCAGTACTCAACCATGGCACCTACGTGTACCACGGGGAATATTGGTGCAACCATTTCGACCTGACCCGCTGACTGGACCCCTTTGCAGTGCTTGGAACACGAACCGGATCTCATCGGCAGCTGTTGGGAACGGCCTCATTGCTTCAACTTGCTTGATGTCCAAGAATACAACAAAAAAGGCAACTAAGATAACAACGATCATTACTTGTCTCTTCATCTTCCTCGTACTATTACAATATCTTTTCCCAGAGAAAAAAAAAATCTGACTTGTTTTTCTGTGTGTGTGGGCACGTAAAATATGTTGTATGACACAGTGTAGGCCTTTTTTTTTTTGCATGGGGTTTCATTTTATATCGATGATGATACATACATATATATATAGTTATTGGTCAACACCTCATGGCTTGACTTTGGGTTTTTCCTCACTAGCTAGCTCGTATATGTATGTATAGAATATATATATATATATAGTGATCTTTGACTTTGACTTTTACTACAAAAACAAATGGCTTTCAAATATATATTTGATAAAACAAGCGTAGGAATTGATTAAACGAGTCATTATAACACGGTTTCCACTTTGCAATCGCATTTAGACAAACGCCTCTTTGTGTCCCAAACAAATAGCACGTGTCTCCATCTAATATACCCAAAACAACGAAATTGCATAACCCGGACTAGATTGGTCTAGTGCTGGTTCGATTTTATGGAATTTAATCTAGCTAGTGTGACGGATGTTCATCACTAGCTAATTGTGACGGGAGTGTATAGTTAGATTTGTGATGGGTTAAGACTTAAGATAATATGACACTCTCATCCATTACAATAGATGATAAGTAGTTTGCAAGAATTTTGTTTTTGTAAAAGGTCATTTTTGCATGGTTTTTGAAAAATTTGTTCGCTTCTCTGCTATATATAATTGGCTCTATAATGTACAAGGTATGTTGGGTTGACTTGGGGTGGCTAATAAAGGTCTGACAAGAAACTATTGAGGCTTGACTTTACTTGGGACTAATTATGACATTTGAACAATGAAACTGATCAAAGAAGTTACTACCCGACGACTGGGTCGGTACTTTTCGCGGCCGTAAACCACTAAAAGTCAGATTATAACCGCAAAAGACCAGATCATAATTCCGTTTACGCTTGGTTCATCAGATACAGGCCCGGCGGAGAGGGCAAGCCAGTAAAGCCACCGATTAGGGTCTCAAAATTTTGAGGGCCTTTTTACCTAAAAATTTGTTAAGTTTTCTTATATACAATAATTTTTGTAGGGCTTTCTAAAAATATTGTGGGTTTTTAGAGATAATTACAACATTTTTTTAACGGTAAAAATCTAATTTAAAAAAAAAAAATTTATAGGCTTTAATTTTGCTTAGGGCACCCAAATTGATCGGGCCAACTCAGATAATCTATGTTATTGTTTTACTCTGCCATCAGATAGTTTTCTTCTTTTAACATTTAAACAAGAAAAAAGAAAAAGATTACTCTTCTCCTGTTTATTACTACCTAGGTTTGTTAATTGTTATATAATTTTTTAGATAAATAACAGTCAATAAAATTGATTATACTAAAATGATTGAAAAGTAAAAGTCACGTTTCGAGTCAAACGCACGAAAATACTAATAAATTAAAGGTTACGACTTACGAATATATAAAACAGACTAACAAATTAAGCAAATGCGAACGCGCCTGCATAAACCGCATGTGTACTTCTACGTGCCGCGTACCGCGTACCGCGTACCGTGTAAGTATATGTAATACCGAATTGGATAGTCTAAGAAAAACACACATGAATGTGTAAAATCCTAAATTATATATTTAAAAGTCAAAAATCGTTTTTCTCGAGTTTATAACTAGAAAAAAACAAGAATGTGTAAACTCATTATATATATAAAATTCAATGAAAAGGTATAAATTGATTATGAATCTGAACGTTGACAATACAAAAGATCAGCAAGGAGGGATTAGTAGTACAATCTGAGAAAACGGAATATTTTTTTTGACAATCAAACGGAATATTTATGCAACCCTTTTTAGTTTGTAGCTAACATATGAGCGACTTGATTACACGATCGTTTAACAAAAGAGAACGAGATGTCTATATTTTGTAACATAATTTATACCTTAACATTAAACCAAAAAATATATATAATAATTTATAATAAAAGATTATATATGAATTTATAATCTATTATCCTATTTCAAATAAAAAATTTGAAGCAAAATTTGAGTTACCGGTATGTATCATACGGTTTACTTAATAAGCACTATTAGACCACACCACACCTCCCTGATTATTTGGTTTGTTTTGGTTTAGTTCGGTATAGTAGTAGTGTGGCTTGGGTCGGTTTCTGATGTCAGTTCAATGAGATTTGTGTAGAACTCTCTCTCTGTATCTATAACCCATCGAGCAAAAGACAGAACTGAGACAATAATCGAGAGAAAGATGCAAGCTATCTCCAAAGTTTCTGCTGCAGCATCCTTCTTTAAATGTTCTAGGGTTTGTATTTCTTCAATTCGTGCTGAATAATTTCCTATCACAGTGTCTGATTCATCGCCAATTTTTTTAGGGTTCAGAAACCAGTACTCTTGATTGTTTTCTTCTTAAATCTCTATTTTAATTCGATGCGTAATAGCTTAGATTATACTAGTTTACTTCTTTAGGACTATATTTGTTTCTAACCTTTTTTTTTTTTTTTTGTGTTGATTAAAGCACACTAGCTTCTTACTCAAAGCTCAAAGACATTGACTGTGACTTTTCTTGTATGAATATTTTTCAATATTGTTGTTCATATCTTTGATTAGTCTCTGCTTTTATCTTGTTTATCAGAAGCTAGCTAGTCAGCCATGTGTCAGGCCTTGCGTGAGACAGCTTCACCTCAGAAAGGGTCTTGTCTCTGGTGCCATGAAGCTTTTCTCATCCCCTCTTAGGACTTTGCGTGGTGCTGGTAAATCTGTTCGCTTTTCAAGGTTCTGCAGTGTCTCTAATGTCTCTTCCTCATTGCAAATTGAACTGGTGTGTGTTGCTTTCCCTTTATTTTTATTTCTATTTTTGATCATATTCAACCATTTGACTTTTCCTGGCAAACCTGATTACACTTTGATCTTCTAAAATTGTTTCTGTCTTTGCAACAAACCACAACTTGTAGATTTGTGATTACTTTAACCGTTTCTCCAGCTGTACATTTTTTTTTCTGTCTCAAATATCATGCCAACAAGCTTATCTAGCAGTCCTGAGGACAACAAATCTAAATGTTCTTTCCAGGTGCCATGTCTTACGGACAACTATGCTTATATTTTACATGACGAGGATACTGGTACAGTTGGTGTGGTTGACCCTTCTGAAGCTGTACCTGTTATGGATGCGCTGCAGAAGAATAGTCGGTATCTAACTTACATATTAAATACACATCACCATTATGATCACACTGGTGGCAATTTGGAATTAAAAGACAGGTATGGTGCAAAGGTAGGCGAAAGTTACTTCTCTCTCTCTCTCTGTCCATATTGTGTGGAGATGCTTCATTGACTTCATAGACTTACCACACTATAATGGGGGATGTACTTAGGTGATTGGCTCAGCTGTAGATAGGGACCGAATTCCTGGAATTGATGTAGCCTTGAAAGATGGTGACAAATGGATGTTTGCTGGCCATGAAGTACATGTTATGGAAACTCCTGGCCACACTAGAGGTTGGTTACTCGCCGTCTTAAATGGAAAGTTTATTCCTTTCAGTGTTTAATTTATTAATACTTCTGGTTCAGACTACTTCAAAGTTTAGTTATCCAATCCATATTTTTATGTCATTCATAAAGCTTTGAGAATTGTTTATAACTGGAGGAGTATGTTATGTATTGGTGTATTTCTTGTCAGACTGCTTAAAATATATAAATATGTCCTACTTGTGTGGCCTGTATAGTTTATTCGTCTGTTTCTATTCTAACAGAATTTGATACTCAAGAATTTGTATATTTTTAAAGATTCAAACAAATAAGTTTCTATTCTATAAAAAGTGTGTGTTTTGTCATAATATTCTCCGAGGCTCTAAGAAGTAAGAACTTTGTATTTCCCTTGGTCCTCTGATTAGGTTCTTACCTTTCCTAAATAACTATTAAAGATTTACTGGTTTGGTTCTTCAAACATAGACTATGCACATGTATTTGCCTAAGCCGAGTCCTCATTTTAGTATCCTCTTATCTGTTTTTAGGCCATATTAGTTTCTACTTTCCAGGGGCACGAGCAATTTTCACCGGGGACACCTTATTTAGCTTATCATGTGGTAAGCTCTTCGAAGGTACTCCAGAGCAGGTAAGCATCATTTATCTAATCTTTCACGTATAATTTTTTGGTTCTCTCTGAACTCTACTTTTTTAAGTGTCAGTTGTTTTAATTGGTTTTCAACAATCTGCATCTTGTTCGGCAGATGCTAGCTTCTCTCCAGAGGATAATTGCTTTGCCAGATGATACAAGCGTATACTGTGGCCATGAATACACACTGGTTTGTTATCTGTATTGTGTGTTTTTTCATATACAAATACCACACGTGTTATCGCTTCTGATGGAATGATTTTTCCAATCTGGCAGAGTAATTCCAAATTTGCGTTGTCTATAGAACCAACAAACGAAGTACTCCAGTCTTATGCAGCCTACGTTGCAGAACTCCGTGAGAAGAAATTACCAACGGTAATCTTTCTTTCATTTCAGTAACTTCACTGTCATTGATGTTACTTCTGTCGCTATTGATAACATCTCTCCACAGTAATTGAAACTATCACTTCTGGACACAAACATGGATTCTCGATTTTCTTGATTAAATTCTTGGCTGCGAAATCTCAGATTCCAACAACGATGAAGATGGAGAAAGCCTGTAACCCGTTTCTCCGCGCTGGGAACACAGATATCCGTCGAGCTTTAGGTATTCCAGAAACAGAAGATGAAGCGGAAGCTCTGGGTATTATAAGAAGAGCAAAGGACAATTTCAAAGCTTAGCTGAAAGATAAACAAGAATGGTTTCTCTGTACAGATGATGATGGGATCCTGGTTTAATCTGTAATGTGACTAAATAAGGTGTTTTGAGTTTTGACCGTGACCACGTCTCCTAGTAGTCTTCAACTCTTCATAATCATATTTCTCTCATGAACTTTTTTTTGGTTTCTTTTTGGTTCAGTCCCTCCGTACACAAGTTTCTTCTTTGATATTATATCCGTTCGGTTCCGGTTCTTTCGGTTCTAGAGTTTAGGATCCACATAGGAACCAAACAATTTCGGTTCGGTTTCGGTTTTCGGTTCCGGTTCTTTTGGTTATGAAGTTTAGGATCTATTCGGATATTTTTTTTCAGATATTTTTAGAAATTTTGGATATTTTTGGGTATTTTCGGATATTTTTGCGTATTGTTTTGGATATTTTAAGTATTTTTGATATAATTTTCAAATATTTATTGGTATTTCAGATATTTTTGGTTATTTGCTCTAAAAGTAACTAATATTTTTAGATATAAACTTATATTTCGAATATTTTTGGGTATCCACAAAATTTTCGGTTCGATTCCGATTCTGATTATTTTGGTTCTAAAATTTAGAATCCATTTGCGTATTTTAAAATTTCGGTTCGGTTTCAATTTGGTGTTTTTTGCTTCGGTTCCGATCGATTTTTGTGGTTTGATTATTTTGTCCAGGCCTAATTATATACCCTCGACTTTTGTTGTTTATTTTACTAGTTGAGATCCTAAAGTATTCGTTAACCCACTTCACTTAATCAAGTGCCACGTGTTAGTTAACAAAATGCTTCGTTTCTTTCAATTCTGATTGCATTCCAAAGAACTGAATCAGAGACGACAAAAGCAACCGAGAGAAAGCGAAGAAGTGTCGTTGTCTGAGACGAAAGCTATGGGGCTAGAAGATGCTGGAGATTTGATTCTCCACATCGTATTATCCAAAATCGGTCCTGAAAGCACGGCGAGAGTGGCTTGTGTCAGTAAGCGCCTTAAGGTTTCCGCCTCCGAGGAATCTCTCTGGTCGATCTTCTGCTCCAATGATCTTAATATTTCTACTCCTCTCGATCCCCATGGAGATCCTGCTCCTTCCTTCAAGGTCAATTCCACTCTTTGTTACCTTTGACATTTTCTAGGGTTTTGAGTTTTAATCACCTTTAGAATTTTACCTGAATTTGATCAATTCTGAGTCCTTGTTTATTTGATGAATGTTCTTTGACCTTAAAGTATAAATATTTTTTTCTCTTAATTCTTCAGAGAGCATATCAATTGTGGAGGGAGTCATTTAGAATGTATCCTTGGAATCTGGTTAAGCGCGTTAGACTTTGTTGGGACAAGCTCAAACTATGGTTGAGCTTAAACTTCCCTGAAGCAAAGGCAACACTGAGGAAAGGTGCCACAGAAGATGATCTTCAAGAACTGGAGACTTCTCTCAAAGTGAAACTTCCTCTTCCCACAAGGCTTCTCTACCGTTTCGTTGATGGTCAAGAGCTTTCTTCCTCCAACGGGCTTGATGGCTCTTTGGGGCTTATAGGTGGCTATTCTGCTTACTCTCATGACGTTAATGTCTACTTGCTACCTCTTAAAGAAGTCATAAGGGAGACAAAGGAAACCATGCTCCACCTCGGTTTCTCCACCAGATTAAACCTTATCGTTATGGCTGCATCCGTAGTTGCCAGTCTGAAAATCTTTTTATTAGACTGCACAAACGGACAGCTTTTTACTGGGACAAGTAACCGCCAATTGCTTCCTTGTGTACCCGATTCTTTGGTTAGATCCGTGCATGATATCAACGGGGATCAGCAACAGGATGCCATGCTGCTTTGGTTGGAAGAACATGGCCGGCGGTTACAAACCGGCACTATAAAAGTCCGTGAACAGTACAATGTCAAGAGTATCAGTTTGTTCCCGGAGATTCCTCCCTTGTGTTCTGTCGCCGTAACTAATGGTGTGCAGGTAAGCAATGTGTTATTCGGTTATTGATATTCAGGTTTGTGGATTGTAGATTGAAAAGCTTGTTCATTAACAATGTAGGTACGTGCTTCTTCTGTTTTTATCCCGGAAATATCTAACCTTCGGGATGAGCCACCGGCATACTGGTATGCATATTCAATCCGGATGTCTCTCATGCCAGAAGGATGCATCTTGAATGGGACACATCATAGCTCTTGCCAACTGTATTGGAGACGTTGGGTTATCCGAGCTGATAATGAAGCCATAGATAATGTTAATGGAGAAGCTGTGATAGGAAAGGTATAGTTTCTTTAGTTTAAGATAACAATTTGTTTGTTGAAGGAGCATAATTGTTAGACCAACAATCGTTTTCTGTTTTGTGATAAGAACATTGTTTTCTAATACGGTTTGTTACATATGTAGTACCCGCTCTTACAAGCTGGAGAGGAAGAGTTTGTGTATGAGAGTTGTTCTAGTTTTCCAACAACCGCTGGATCCATTGAAGGCTCTTTCACCTTTGTGCCTGGAAGGTATGCTTCATTAGATGATGTTAAGAATCTAGACCACTTATCTTCTAGTTTTGAAATTAAACTGGAATCTTGACCTTTTGATTCTTTTTTCTTAGTTTGAGAGATCCAAAAGGGAGTCAATTCGAAGTCAAAGTCGCAGAGTTTCCTCTGGAGTTACCGGACTACATCTTCTGAACTCTTTCTGGCACAAGGTTCGTTACTCTTTCAAGATAATTCGTTATATCGGTTTTCATTGTCCATACAGCATGCAATGTAATTATAAAATAAAGGTGTGGGATCAACTGGTTTACAAGTTCATGAGAACACATGATTCTTAACAGTTTTACTTAAAAAACAAAAGAGTGATGACTGATGAGTACGGATGATTAACGAAATAGATAGAATTAGTGCTGGGATTAACGAGGGATAGCCATCTTGCGTTTCTGATCATCGGTAGGCAATTTGACATTGGTGGCTAAGCCGAGAGCCTGAAAGAACCGAATGAGGTACCAAGTTATGTCTAACTGATACCATTCTAGTCCATGCCTAGCCGACGCCTCAAAGGCATGGTGGTTGTTGTGCCAGCTCTCTCCCATAGTCAATAGCGCTAGCCACCTGCACCATTCCACATTCACTCAATATAAACCACATTGAAAGTGGTTTTGTTTGGTATAGTAATCAAATTGAGACTGTGTCTATTGTGGATAGGTTTTGGTCTTTCGGATTAGGTTTTTTTGTTTATCTATATTTCGAGGATAATACTAGAGTGGGTAAATAAAATACCAAACGTTACGAGAGGTGTCATTGGTGTGCCACACTTGCGAACCACAAATATGGCATGCCGAGTTTACGAGCCAAGTCCCGTGGTAAGCGAATGCTCCTCCAGAACCCTGTTTCCAACACAGTGAAATAGAGGAATAATGAAATGGTTGAAAATGAAAATTAAATTAGGTTTTGTTAGAAAATCACAAAAACGCATTTGATATAAACAAATTATTTTGTAGAAAATAAATTGAGGTTTTACCACGGTCCAAGTTAGGTAAGGTAGACCACCCCATAAGTAGATGAGGGTCCAAAATACAAAGATGTGGAGAACCAATGTCTTTTTTAGAAACCTATAGAACCATTGTTGCTTCAAGTCCATCACGTTGTTACGTCTTCCGCACTGTTACAATTATTAAAACATCCGCCTTTAGTTATTAATATCAATTCACAGATTGTTGGGTTTCTAGAGACTTAAAAATGTTTTGTTACCTTTTCTCTGATATATTCGGAGTCAAATATCCACAAAACATGACTGAACCAGAATCCTTCGATAGGGCTATGTGGATCACGGTCAGAATCTGTGAACTGGTGATGGAATCTATGAATGCTCACCCAATCCAATGGATCACCCTGAAAAGAATAGAAAAGAGAAACAATTGAAAGATAGTTGAGGATACATATTGGTTGTAACTAGATTCATCTTTATTTTTGGTTAAAACAATATTTACCTGAAGTGCAAAAAGAGCAGAATAAGCGAATGGATATTCAAGCCATTTAGGTAGTGTAAAGCTCCGGTGAGTCAAGTTCCTATGGTACGAGAATGTAATGCTGAGGTTTGTCACTATGGTGATAATTGTACCGAACCGCAATGCTTCCCATTTGTAGTTAAAAGGAGCCAATAGACACAACAGATGCACGATTCCAACAGTCGAAGCTCTCCCAACATCGAACTGGGTCCATTTCCTTAAAAAAGGCGCTCTTTTTTCCTTACGCACTGATTTGTTTTGGCTAGAGCCATCGTCCTTAGTGGTGTCACTCATCAGACCGTTGAGGAATGGATTTGTTATTTTTGAGATATATGAAGTAAAAATGTTTGAGTTATGATTGATTGAAGGTTAATTTGCTTATATAGAGAAAAAAAAGTTGGTCATTTTAATTGAATGTTGTGGAGACTAAAAGTTGTATCGGTGGATTTGAGTAAAATTAATCATCACTACCTAACAGCAACATAATAAACTTGTGCACTTTACCTCGTATTTAATTTGCCTCGTCTCCAAAACGAAAATTTAGTTACGTCGATTATTTTCTATATAAAAAGTGTAGTATATTTCACATGTTTTTTATATTACATTAAAGACATTAATTTTTTTTTGCATAATATATAGGACATTTGTCTCTGTGTTGTAATTTTTTTTTTGAAATTCAAATTTATTGACAACAAAGAAATTATAACATCATTGTTTTCGGCTTTTTTTAATAAATGAATTTTTCTACATTCTTTAAAAAGAATCAAAAATTATCTATACTATTAAAAGGGAATCATTCTAACTAAACTAACCCTATAATGTGTAAAAAATTACAATAGAATGTCATTGGAAAATTTAAAACCAACGACTAAAAAACAGAAATCGTCAGAGGGTATAATGGACAATTTTAAGGCCAATTACACGCGGATCTTGGATCCATTATCAGCGGATCTTGGAGCCAGCAGTCGGATCTCTATCCAAAAGTGTATAATGAGCTTACTAGGCTTAGTCGATGTTGGGCCTTTATATTTCTCTCGCATTTAGTAGATCTGCATTAATTCAAAACATAATATTAGATTCGTGATTACTAAAGATAGTTTCCATAACAAACAAATCTATATTTACTAATTAACTAAACCGATATTTCGCATTTAGTAGATCTGCATTAATTCAAAACATAATATTAGATTCGTGATTACTAAAGATATTTTTCATAACAAACAAATCTATATTTACTAATTAACTAAACCGATATTTCAATAACAACTCAATCCCATATATTTAAATGATTTAAAGAAAACTTATCTCTTAATATTCGATTTCCTTGATTTGTTATTACTTTAGCCAATAATAACAAACTCTATATCTTCATATCCGAATAAATTAAGCATATACCTTAACTATTCTTATTCTCAAATCTTCTCTTAGACGGGAATTTTCTAAACCCTAAGCAACCCTATACTTTCTCCATCTCTTATAAATATAGATATCAAACGACATTCTCAATACACACTAAGCTATCAAACTCAAAGCATACCTCTCAAACAATGGCTCTTCCCATCACAGAACTTAATGCAGTCAAACCATTCAAGACTCAATGGAAGATCCAAGTGAAAATCGTCCATTCATGGACTCAATACACCCAATACTCCGGGGAGACTGTCGAGATGATTCTTGCTGATACATCTGTAATTTACGATTTATCAATAGTATAGATTTACTCTTCTAATGATTATTTGTAAATAAAATGTTTAATTATCTTTTTTTGCTAAAGAATAATGAAGCAGGAGCATTTTGCAATAAAGTGCTCAAGTTATACAATAATCTGGATAAAAAAAACTTACCTTCGTTATTCTTCTTCTTTTGAGAAACCATCGAAATATGGCTACTAATCTGAAACAAGTATAAAAACAAAAAAAGATTATAGATTTACAGCTTAAAAGATATACTGAAATTGATTAGATTTAGTCTATTAACACTATGAATTTTGAGAAGAAACAGATTGATTGACTAACTAACATGTTTAAACAAAACGAAACATGTAAAAAAATTGCATGCAATTAGATATGAAAAAGGTAATAATTAATCAAATTTTTGAAGGGTTATTCACAATCGTTGTATAAGATCTATAATGAAACAAGAAAAAATCTATGGTAGAAACCCAATCGACAGATTCCAAAAAAGTTCAAACAAAAATCAAAGAGAAGAAAAGCTTACCTCTTTTAAGATCTTATAATTTGCAAAGAATTGATGTATAAGCGAAGACGATGGAAGTGGATTTCGGATGGATTTCGATACAGCTTCGTCGATCGGCCGACAAAGATTATTTTCTCAGATTGGAAAATTGTCGAAGGTTTCAGACAAAGAACAAAAAGGAGTATCTTCCCAGATAAAAAAAACATAATATGAAATAATGTCAGGACCAATATTTGTGTGTTTTACGGCCCAACACAAATATTTATGATGAATGTATATGGCCCATTACGACAAATATCTTGAATTTGGACCAAAAAAAAAAACAAAATGTGACCATGTTAGTGTAAAATTGATATTAATCATTATAAATTAATAGTATAGAGTTGTATCAATATAAAAAAATTAATAGTATAGATTTGATATTTTTTCCTTACTATACTAATTACTAAACACAGAAATTATGTTACAAAAAAAATTTAATTTAACAAGGTAATGTTTTGTAATACCCAACTATTTTTATACAAAATATACCGGAATACATATGTCTCGAACGATTTGATCAGTTCCCAATACTAATATATTCAATCCTGTAATTTGTTACATAAATCTATTTTAAATAGTCATAACAAATTCAAACTGATACACACATTCGAAACCTAGATGTCATAAATTTTATACTAGAAAATCGTATGGTACAAAAACCCCGCACGTACGTGCGGGTCTTGATCTAGTAATATATATTTTATAAACTTTTTAATGCAACACGATACAGTTTTAAAAGTTGTTTGTGTTTCTATTTTAGGAATAATACTTACTAAAAATGAAAATCAACTACTTTAAAATTTTAATATGTGCTCGTAAAATGGACCCAGAATATAAATAATCTTTATGTGGGGTTTTTGGATGGTGAACATGAATGCCTTGGGAGTTGGTCCAATTTAATTTTCACCTGTTCTGTTCTGTTGTAGTCCGATGATACTGTTACATTTTTCTTGTTTAGTACTTTGAGCGTTTTCTTGGATTAAATATTCTCATGGACCTTTTAAAATACAAATAGTTGGTTGAGGCACCTTTCATTTCACCAATTCAATCATTAAATTCAAAATAAATAAAAATACAGTATCAATATAATAAAACTACTAAAGATCTCTTCAGGTAAGACACCTCAGCATTTTGGACTCTTCTCATCATGACACATTATTAAAAATTTATCCAATCAAATAAGCGATACTCCTATCAAATAGCCATACGCTGGTGACTGAACCAAATCATTGAATATTTCTGTAAATTGGTGATGATATCGATGTGTGCTCACCCAATCAATCGGATCTCCCTGTTACAGTAACAAACAACATAAATATTCATGGTTAAAAATGAGATATATTTCAGACTCTACAAGTCTTAAGAATCAAAGGTTTTGCTGGTGGATGCATACAACTGTAGATATTAATGTTTTAAAAAAACGGTTAACTCAACTAACTAGATCATAATTTTATAGCTAGATTCTGACCAAATTTAAAGGTCTTATAGAGATTGACGATGGCCCGACTTATTCTGAACTAGTGGTTGAGTACTGATCCAATTTTTAGTGAGACCCCACTAGCTCAAATCTAAGATTTAGATTTGAGGCATTTTGTTACTAAAATTACTGTTAAAAGGGTTGGCGGGTGGATCCAACATGACCATATGTGTAATAAGTAATAACTGAAAAGAAAAGAAATTAAACATGTGACTTTTATTTTTGATAACGTTAAATATGTAAATTAAGAGATTGGTAAGTTCTATAAATACGAGTAGGCCTGGGCATAATACCCGAACCCGAAGAACCGAACCGAATCCGAACCAAAAAATCTGACCCGAACCTGAACCCGAAGTTTTAAAATACCCGAACGGGTTCTAAATTTCACAACCCGAAAACCCGAACCCGAACCCGATCCGAACTCGAACCCGAACATGTACCCGAACATACCCAAAATATGTAATAAGCTAAGTGCCAAAATTATTCGGATGTTAAGATATTTTCGGGTGTTTTAGCTACTTTGGGTTAGATTCGGATTTAAATACTTGGGTTTTATAGATTTTTTGAGTATTTTTTAATACTTTGCATAGAATCGGATACAAAATTTCTAATATTCGGATACTTTGGGTAAACCCGAATCCGAACCCGAAATATCCGATCCGAACCCGACCCGAACCCGAAGTTTTAAAATACCCGAACGGGTCTTAGTTTTCTAAACCCGAAAGACCCAAACCCGAAAAACCCGATCCGAACCCGACCCGAATATCCGAACGCCCATGCCTAAATACGAGGTTGGAAATTTTGCAGAGTTTGATATACAAGTCCTTTTAGTTCCCTTTATTTTCAGTTTGATCCAAAAGAGAGTGACTCTAAGTCAAAGTTGCTGAGTTGTCTCTGGAGTTACCGGATTACATCTTCTGAAATTTCTTGCGCAAGGTTCAGTTACTGTGTCAAGATAATGTATCATATCGGTTTTTGTTCATACAACGTGAAATGTACTTAAAAGGTGTTGGATCACGACTAGTTTACAAGTTCATGAGAACATATTTTATTCTTAATAGTTTTACATCAAATAACAAATGAGCGGGTGAGGAGTACACATATAATTCACGAAATAGAGAGATTCATAGACTTAGAGCTGAGACTAACGAGCGAAAGCCATCTTGCGTTTCTGAGCATCGGTAGGCAATTTGACATCGGTGGCTAAACCGAGAGCCTGGAAGAACCAAATGAGGTACCAAGTTAAGTCTACCTGATACCATTCCAGTCCGTGTCTAGCCGACGCCTCAAAGGCATGGTGGTTGTTGTGCCAGCTCTCTCCCATCGTGAATGGCCCTAGCCACCTGAACCATTCCACATTCATTCAATATTATTCGGTGAAGGTTTATATGTTCCGTTAAGTTTTATCGGTCTATTAAAAAATAGCGTGGGTAAATAAAATACCAAACGTTACGAGAAGTGTCCTTGGTATTCCATGCTTGCGTGCCCCAAATATGGCATGCTGAGTTTATGAGCCAAGTCCCGTTGTAACCGATTGCTCCTCCCACACCCTGTTGTTAAGAAAACATCATATATATATGTGATAGTTAATATGATGGATGAATAATGAAATTGTTGAACAATAAATGATTTGAAAATAGTTTTGCAAGAGAATCATAAAGCTTTGAAGATAGTTTCGATAGATGAATAATGTTTTATTTTTATTAACTATATTTTAGCATGTGTACATATATAGCAGAACTGTTTTCCAAATACTTGAGTTTTTTTTATGTGAATTTTGTTTTTTTTTTTTTGCAGCATCCTAGAATTTATATTTCAAAACGTTAAAAAAAAAGTTAGTGTAACATTCATTATGCACAATCCAATTTTTATTTGATAAAAACAGTTAACAAAAATAAATATAGAATTTACCACGCCGCAAGTTAGGTAAGGTAGACCACCCCATAAATAGACGAGAGTCCAAAATGATAAGATGTGGAGGCCAATTGTGTTTCGAAGAAACCTATAGAACCATTGTTTCTTCAAGTCCATCACGTTGTCACGTCCTCCACACTGTTACATTATTGCAACATAGTTCACCTTTAGTTACTTACTGATCTTCTATTAAAATCTCATAATAACTTAAGATCGATTCAAATTAAATATGTTGGGTTTGTAGAGATTTTAAATATTTTGTTACCTTTTCTCTGATATAACTGGTGTCGAATATCCACAAGACGTGACTGAACCAAAATCCTTCTATAGGACTATGTGGGTCACGGTCTGAATCTGTGAACTGGTGATGGAACCTATGCGTGCTCACCCAATCTATCGGATGACCCTAAAACAAAAGAGATAATTCAAAGATAATTGAAGATACATGTTGGTTGTATTATTATTTTCGATCAAAATTAAACGATATATATCTACCTGAAGCGCGAAAAGGGCAGTGTAAGCGAATAGATATTCAAGCCATTTAGGGAGCTTAAAGCTCCGGTGAGTCAAGTTCCTATGGTATGAAAATGTAATGCTGAGACTAGTCACTATAGCGAGAATCACACCAAACCGAAAAGCTTCCCATTTGAAGTTAAACGGTGCCAATAGACACAATAGATGCACAGACCCAACAGCCGAAGCTCTCATTACATCGATCCGGGTCCATTTCCTGAAAAAGAACGCTCTTTTTCCCCTACGTACCGCTTTGCTTTGGCTAGAGCCATCGTCCTTAGTAGTGTCCCCCATTGGACCGTCGAGGAAATGGGTTTGTTATTTTTGAGGTATGAGAGTTAATTGTATGATTGATCACCGAAGGTTTGATTATATAGGGATAATGTTGGTTCATTGAAGCTGAATTTTGTGTAGATTAAGGATTGCATCGGTGGATTTGAGTAATCATTACTACACTTAACTACGAAAACATAAACTTGCACATTTTACCTCGTCTTTGCCTTGTCTCCAAATGAGAATTTAGTTAGGTAAACAACAAGCCATTTGGTTGGCCTATTGTTTATGATAAAAAAAAAAAAGCTTTTAAATTTTATGCGTAACAATCCCGATTGATTGGTTAGTCCGAGAATTAAGAGTTAAGCATAAAGGCACATGTATTAACCTGAGACATTTGTAATTGTTTTAAGGAATGGTTTTACGAATGCTTTTACGTTATAAAAGACACGCATTTTGATTCCTCTTAACGTATAAGGTTTTGGAATTTTAAAAACGTTTTTATTTCCTTTGATATTTTTGATATAACATAATAGTCTGAAATCGTAAGAATATAGTGCTATATATATTTAGTTTTATTCCTTTATAAAAAAAATCTAGTTTTATTACTTAGTTTGGTTTTCATATATATAAATACTCAAAGTACGGTTAATATTTCAAAAAACAAAATTATAAAATATTTGTAGCGGTCGGTAAAAATTAATATGCAAGAAAATTAGTTTACCTAAGGATAGAGAATCGTACCACTTTTTGGTTTTAAACATGAGATTCCACAACTGCTTGTTCGATACTTTTAGCAGCATCATAACATTTTTCCAAACACGGATATTAACGTTTTTGGTTAGTTTGAAGTTTGTAGAAGACGAGGGATTAATAATGTACTGCATTTTAGGTTTGGTTGCGTTCTAGCCTTTTTAGGTTTGGTTCTAAGACGTTTAATTTTCAACTGTATTTTAGGTTTGGTTGCATTCTAGCCTTTCAGGTTTGGTTTTTAGACTATTAATTTTCAACTTTCTTTTTAATGGGAAACATTGCGTCGTTTCACGAATTAAAGCTTCTCTGTTCATTATAGGTTTTTATTTTTTCTTTACAAAATCTAGTAGTGGTATTGTAGCACTCTTCTATAAAAGTCAAACCTGTTATAAAACCAATAATAAAAATGAACAACGGCAAGATATTTGTTAGTTTGTTAGTAGTTTCCGGATTTATATATGAGAGGATGCTTGTGTCAGTTATAGAGAAAAGAAAGGAAAAAAAAAAGTGGACCATGATAAACTTCTTTACGCATTTTAAAATTTCGATCATATCAAACGAACGTATCTTAATTAAGCAAGCTAGTTCAAACACACGTGACAAGACAAAACAACACCGCATAGCACAATATTACAAGTGTTACGTTTACCAAAAACTTCAAACGTACGTAGACATTAATAGTTAATACTTAAATGAGATGATACGTCGTTCCATCTTCAACGAACCATTGCCATACGACGTCGTTGACTCTCGGAAGGCAACTTGACATCAGTAGCTAAACCGATAATCTCGAGAAAGCGGACAATATACCAAGAAATGTCGATTTGCCACCATTCCAAGCCTTGTCTCGCCGAGGATTCGAAGGCGTGGTGATTGTTGTGCCAGCTCTCTCCAAACGAAAATACTGATAGCCACCTATATATATAACCATTTTAATCCACCACTTGATTAGTTTCTTCCAAGTCATTTATCATCATTAATTATTAATTTATGCTGTTTCGTAATTAATCATATATATGCATATGAATTCACACAAAAAAACAAAACATTTATAGATTATTTTATATACTAACACGACATACGTACATTAAAAAAAAAACATACATATATGCGTTTATAGTTTGATATATAAAAATATGCTTTTATTGTTTACAAACTAATACTGAAAATGTTAAAAACCAAAGAACATTTTATCTTTGTTTAAAGCCAAAGTACACTATTTTTAACATGCAGAAATTGAATGGGCCACAAAAAAAAAACGAAAACACAATCAAAAGATCTACATATATGTCGGGTTTATGGATGGTGAACTAAATGCCTCTGGAGTGGTCCAAACAAAGTTTCCCTTTTAGAGGAAACTGTTTCATCTGTTCTATAATGCGATGAAAATGATACTTCTTTTCCTGTTTAGTCAAGTCATGAGCGTATATTCCTGGATAATGTGCCAAGATTTAATATTCTCATCGACCTTTTAAACAGAGGTAGTTGGTTCAGGCACCTCTCATTTCACCAATTCAAGCATCAAAACTAAATTTTTTAAAATTATCTATACTAATAATATTTTTATTCATGATTTGATCAAAATTTTGAACGTACCAAACGTTACGGGAAGTGTCATTAGTCTTCCAAGTTCGGCTTCCCCAAACATGGCAAAGAGAGTTGATGAGGCAAGTCACATGATGCTCCATTGCTACCCCAATACCCTACATCCACAGAAAAATTAAGATTCTTTAACCCTTTGTCATTTACTGTATTATTTGGAACTATATATTATGTTTTTGCGAGAAAAATTTTAAAAATAAAGGGCAAGAAAATTGAATATTACCATTCCCCAAGTAAGAAAAGACAAACCACCAAAGTAATAGAGGAGGAAACCAAATGCTAGAATGTGGTAAAGGACTGTTCTTTGAAGGAATTTATAGTACCACTGCCTCTTTAAGTCCTCCACATTTGTCCTTCTTCCACACTGCGTCATTACAAAATTATATTAAAGTTTAATTGTGATCAAAGTAAACTAATCTAGTTCTCCCAAATAGTTAATTACCTTTTCTACAAGATAACCGGTATCAAATAGCCATAGGAGGTGACTGAACCAAAATCCTTCATTAGGACTATGTGGGTCCCTATCCGAATCTGTAAACTGGTGATGGTATCGATGTGTGCTCACCCAATCAATCGGATCTCCCTAAGTACAACAAAATACAAATAAATGTTCATGGTTCATAAACAGATGACATATATAATACATGAATATAGTATAATTAATAATTCTAACATTAAAAAAATACACATGAATATATAGATATTAGTTATAGACTCTATAAGTTTTAAGAATCTAAGGATTTACGGATGGGTCCATCATCCATGGATTCTTACAACTATAGTTATTATATATATGAAAAACGGTTAACTCAACTAATTAGAACACCCTAATACTATAGCTAGCTAGATTGTGACCAAATATAAGGGTATAAAGATTGACGATGGTCTGAGTCATTCCAGACTAAAATGAGCCCCCACTAGTTCAAACCTAAAGATTTGTTGCACGTTTGTTGAGTATGCATGAAATAACGAAAATATAGCGATACAAGGCTGGAAATTTTGCGGTAAAAAGAAATGAAAGAGCAACGCGCGAACCTGAATGGCGAGAAGGCCACAATAGGCGAAGAAATACTCGAGCCATTTAGGGACTTTGAAGCTCCGGTGAGCCAAATTTCGGTGGTAAGAGACGGTGATACCGAGCCCACCCACCGTATAGACAATGAGGGCGACTCTTAAAGCCGGCCAAGTGAAATTGAAAGGAGCCAAGAGACAGAGGAAATGCACAAAGAGAGAAGCAAAAGCTTTCACAATGTCCAATCTCTTCCACTTTCTTTCCCACAATGCCCTCTTCTTCCTCCCCATCTCAGCCTTGTCCGCAGCCATTTTCCGATGGTTCTCCTCCTTCTCTGAGGCTGACAATGACATCTTGAAAGAAAATTATGTATAAGTCGACGAGAACAGAAAAAAAAAACTCTTGATTGGATTTGAAGTTTGCACAACGAGTGTGTCTAATAGTTTAGGTTTGTGAGTGAGTATCGTTGTAATTTATAGTAGCATGGAGGGTGAAAAATATAATTAAATAGAGTGAATTGACATATTAACGGACGCCGTAATTTATTCTCTAATGCATGCTTCCTTTTTTTTATCCTATCTGTAAATTGTTGCAGTTGGGACGTAGTCGTTATCACTTCATTAACTTACTGTGAAATAATAAAAATATTATAATTGTTGGAATCCATAATAGATCATAGATGCATCATGCATGTAACTATGTAAGCATAGAGCTGACACAGTCCTCGATTTTGATTTTGTATTGTGATACCCGTATTTTATGCAACTCTTCTATATATCTTGTACTATATTTTTATTTATGGATGCTGACTCAATGTATCGTTCTATATATATTTTGAACAGCGTTCTCTATGCCTCTAAATGAATACAGTTTCTTTTTTACCGTTAATTATGCTTATTGGTGACAATCAAGAGAGTTCAAGATTATAACACCAATATTTATATAGCAATTGAAAATATCAAAAATTAGACCCTTCACTTCTACTCTTTCTCAAGATATTTTGTTTACTTTTATATTCAAGAAATCATCTTCGAGTAGTTCACTCATTTTGTCTTGGATAGAACATGTTAAAGTAATTAATGAATATAATTTACAATTTCAAAACAGATTCACTCTTTAAAAATTAAAGACTTGTAAGTTGTAACAGAAATCATAATTTTTTGTTGATAAACTTTTTTTTTTTCTTCCCCAAAAGGAACATCGTTTAGAATTCCAAACTGATTATCAACGAAGAAGCAAAAAAGTAGTTGACATAGTAGATAATCAAAGCTCGTGCAAAGCAAAACATAGAGAAGTAAAAAGAAAAGAAGCAACAACATTGAAGATGAAATCTCGAAGAATCTGAACCAAGTATCCAGGAAGCTCTTATCATTTTAAAAAATAACATATAATATGTTTCAACTCTCAACCATGCATGTAAGCTTCTTTTTAGAAAAAGTTTTGATTTTTCTATACCATATGTTATTTAAAATCAGTATGTTTTTTTTTTCTTTCTTTTTATACTAGTATTTTAATAACATTTAAATAAATAAATAAAATAAAACTAATTTTTTGTATGTGGAGTTGTGGAGCAAGCAACATCAGGACTCCGATCGATATGCTAAAGAAATTAATGAACGAACCTATATGAGTTTGAATGAAATTAATTAATGTAATTGCTTAGCAACCATCGATATCTCATCCTGAAAGATAAGGAAGAAATCGAAAGCACATGCATACATCTCAAAGAAGAAAACCACTCATTCATGAGTTGGAAGATTTTAATTCACGTTTTTATCAAAAATAAAATAAAATGAATCAATTCACGTAATCTCCCTTAGCAACTATCTAATCTCCAAAAACAAGGAAGAGACGGAAAGAACATGTATATATTCCAACTAAGACTAACGATTAATCTTTCTTGAATAAGGAAGAAATTGATTCATGGGGTTTTAAGCATCCATCTAATCTCCAAACTAAGAAAGATATGCAAAGCATATGCATATATATCCCAGAGAAGACTAACGAGTTTACTTAAACTTTGGAGAAAAATCAATTCATGTCATCTTACTATCTTAGCGACTATATATCTAATCTCCAAAACCAATAAAGCATTTAACAAAGAAATTAACAACACCAAAAAAACACGAA